AAAGAGAGAGAGAGAGAGAGAGAGAGAGAGAGAGAGAGAGAGAGAGAGAGAGAGAGAGAGCATGCAATTGGCCTTTTTTTTTTTAACAAGTACAAAACTTCACATGATTCAATTCGACATTGTGGAGAAGTTTTCATATGCTTCGATGAAAGGGATGCATGTTTTTGTCAGCGAACGTTGCGTACTGTGATCATGGACCAGTTGTTGGATTTCGAATGACAGTTTGTTGGTGTGCTTAAAAGTGCAATTTTTTTTTATTTTTTATTTTCCTTTTTTCCCTTCTGCAATCTTTATTTTTTTTACAGTCCGTGACGGCTACAAATGTTATGCTGCCCCATGTACAAGATCAATCAATGCTCGCATGTCGCTTCACTCAACTGCCGTATGCTACAGGGAAAGGTGAAACATTCGAAAGAAAGCTGATACATTCAAACAAGCTGATGGACAAAAAATGGCATCGTTTACCAAAAAAGATGATACATTCGAAAGAAAGGTCACGTTCCTAGGAATATCAAACATGCTGATGGGCACAGAACGATAAATAAAACTTCGGGATTTGTCATTTACGAAAGTTTATCCAAACACATATGAACACTTCATATGCCCTCGCACATGGCCACCGAAGAACCCATTGCAAAACATGGAAGATGGCGTTGGTCCACACTGAAAAAAAAATCAGTCTTGCATTCTGTTCTTGGCCAAAAAAACACAGGGAAGCCTCCGTTAGACCTGTAAAAAAAGACTATGCCGACGACGCACGCAACTGCAGGTGAGATCATCCCGCCCGCTCACCCGACTACGGAAACCAAAAATAGGACATGTTCAGCCATAGCCGGGGTCAAGAAAGGAACCGACACATTTTTGTCGCGTAAAAAAAAAAAACAAACAAAACAGCCTGCAACCGGCGGTGTGCAGCTTTGAAACGCTAACCTGCAACACACATCTACCTATACCCACTCAGGGAATCGCCCTCCATACACATACTTCTCCTAAACTGTTCAGCGACCGCCGTGACGTCACGACGGTTCATGTCCGGCAACACTACGGGCAGCGATGAAGGCGATCTCGCCTCGGCGGGCACCCGCCAATGCGGAGGTGTGTGCACACTCGAGTCACGTCGCATGTGACCCACCAACACTGTCACACTGGCGATGGTTCCACCTCGCATGCAGCCAGGGCTCTGCAAAGTTGTGACAAAACTATCGGGCTCTGCAGGGGTATGGTCGGAGCCCCCTTCGTAAAGTGACAACCGGTGTTGCAGGCGGGCCACTTCCTCCCTCAGAGAAGCAACTTGTCACTTCGCAGCTTCGACTCTCGACATGGCAAGCCCCTCTCTTATGTTCGCCTTCTCCAGCTCACCCTGCAGACGCTGGAGCTCCTCCACCATAGCCGATACGCGAGTGAACAGCACCCCGCGCTTACGCGCCAGCTCATGCGCTTGCTCGATGAGCCGCCTGTGGGTCAGTGCAAAATCTTCGGCCATGTCCACAACCTCGCCAACACCACGCATCGGAGAAGACGACATTTTGCCAAGTGTCATGCGCGCTCTCTTTCACGAATCCTGCAAGAAAGCCATCAGGAATCCCACACGCATACGGACTTTGGTCAGATTGAACCGCCGTTGTCCTGCACCCGTACGGAGTGCTGACCGGAAAAAAAAAAATGAAAAAAAAAATAAAATTCAAAAGAAGTGCACGTCTCGGACATGCAGCCGATCACTTCGTGTGCTCCAAGCATGTGATCAACGGCCATCTTCCTGGCGACTGCCACGTTCGCAATGTGTCCCGCCCCCTGGAGGAACCGATGGCGGTTGTCCCACCATCGCATTTGAAAGCACAGCGAAGCATTGCAACAGTGTTTGGTTACCCTCGACCATGTTCTTGTTCATTCCGTCCATGGCCTGTGCAAAACTCCCCGCGATCCTCTCCGCATGACGGTCGTTCGCGTCGACAAGAGCATGTGCAATATCTGCGAACGAACCTCCCGTTGAAGCGTCACTCGAACTCTCTACCGCGGAACGCCGTTTGTGGTCGCTCACACCCACGGTCCGTCGAGACTTGTAACCCTCAGCGCTGTCAGTATCCGCTTTTCGTCGACCCCCTCCATTCTCACTAGTGCCGCCAGTGTCTTCATCATCTGTGACCGTGCTCGTCTGCCCTCTCTGCAGATTGACACTGTGCATCAGGTCCTCGCACGAACCGTCCGCCTTCCCAAGCTTCCATTGCAGAGCTTCAAACATGTGTTTTTCGTATGTCAACGAAAGACCATTCTCCTTTTTCTCCGAACACGACATGTCCCAATAGCTCGGCTTCCCTGATTCGCCGCTGTAATCCCGGATCTTTTTTGCTTTGTCAAGGAGGGCGTAGTACTTTGCCTCGCAGTCCTCCATGTCACGCTTTGGAAAGCCTTGCTCAACCATTTTCCCTATTATCCAGTCGTACTCCTTCCGTCTACTCCTGATCTTCTGCCTCCCTCGCCTGCTTTGCTGTGTGCAGTCCTCTTCGAAGAGCAGCCTCACAAGCGCCATGCTCTCCTTGTCTGTCCACTCTGGCTTTCGCTCTTTCGCCTTCGCCTTGCTCTGTCCCCCGCGACTCCCCCCCTCCTCCCCGACGGCCCTTTTCCTACTTCCCGCTGGCGGAGTTGCATCGCTGCAGTGCGCACCGCCTTCGTCGTCTGCGACCTCGACAGTCGCAAGTCTTCCACTTTGTGTCCCAGCGATATCCATTGCAGGTTCGGTGAAAGCGCCACCAAACGCCCCATCGATGACGGGCTCCTCTACACTCGAATCATGAGAATGGTTGGGCATGGGGACATCGGAGTTGTTGACATTGGCATGCGGGCCAAGCATAGAAGCGGCACCACGGTTGACACCGGGGTCTGAAGAGTACAAGTTTTGTGGGCGAATGTGATTGGTGGTCGATGGGGAGTGTGCAAAAGTCGGCGAAGTCCGACCCTCCATCGGTGTGTACGTGTTTGGTGAACCCCCACCCACCCCTCCCAACATGGAGTGCGCACCCACCGGTGGAGGACCGCTTTGTGGCCGCTCCCCGTTCGCCCCCATCCTGAATCCGTCACGTGGAAACCCACAGTCACGTCCCACCCCCCAGTTTGGATACGCTGTTTGAACGTCTACATCCAATCTCCCTGCTCCTTCATATCGCGGTGCTCCAAAAATATCACCTTCGGCAAGGAGAGAGGTCATACTTCGTGGCTCTTTCCCGGGACTGTACACTGGAGCGTGCAAATGCTTGAAATTCAGCAATGGTGGCAAGCCTATCGGCAGTGACGTGGCAACGCGTGCCACACCCGCAGGTCCTGCACCTGCTGAGAAACCTTGGAAACCCGGACTGCCAATGCCTGCAGTGGATGGCGTTACTTCCACGAAGCCAGTGTCCATGGGCGCAGGCGAAGGAGATGGTGATCGTCTATGCACAGGCAGTCTAGAGTGATCCATACCTTTTACGGGCGCTGTCAGCAGACGTAGCTTGCTCGATGAGCCGCCGCCGATGGCCTCCACTGTATAGAACTGGTGAAGAACGCCAAAGCCAAGGAAGAGAGTTTGCGGCTATATACACTCCAGAAACATGCCACATAGAGGAATGCGACGGATCGATCCTACAAATGGCAGAAAATGCAACTTTCGTGGTGTATCACATGAATGGCGACGTGGCGAACAGAGGTGGGAATAACATTGGCAGTCCGGAAACATGCCACGTGGAGGAATGCGACGGATCGATCCGACAAATGGCGGAAAATGCAACTTGATTGGAGTAGCAGATGAACGGCCACGTGGCGAAATGCGGACGAATGGATGTGTATGCAGAAAGACGCCATGTGGCAAAATGGCGGGAGATGGCGGGAGACTGTCGGCGATGTCGACAGCAAGCGCCACCGTATGCCCCACGGAATGCCACCGACTACAAAGACATGCAAAGCGTCGGACAGCGTCGAGATATTACCGATAGGCGATGGCGGGATATGGCAGGGGAGCTACCGTTGCTTTGGCCGCCAGCTCCGCGCGAAGAGGGAACGCGCACTACCAGGGCGTGGCTGCACACGGGATGGGCACTGCCGAATACCAACATTAGGTCCTCGCACGGCCGTAAGGTGTGCAATCACACAGGCATACCGGACCGACTAGCCCTCTTCGAATCAGCAGCTGGAATTTTCGGCGACCGGGCCCCGTCTGCCTGTGTGGTGGGACATTGGCAAGCCGCATGGCACTGCGGCCGGTTCAAACCCGTCGCACAACGTTGTGGCCAGGCGGACGTTCCAAGTACCTCTTGCGGACATGTACAAAAAAAAAAAAAAAAAAAAGGAAAACCCCGCCTTCTTTTTCGGGGAAAAGACGGGGTTGTCTCACTTTGTGTTTTCAAAAGAACTTTCTGGCCTGCAAACGCGGCCGGCTCGACACGTCCACTTCTGGTTCCACATCCGCGAGAAAAGAGGGCCCTCTCCGCCTCACGCGGAAAGAAGTGGGATCCCAAAAAAGGCCGTTTCTCGCCAAAAAGAATAGAGGTGAGATCTGACTCTACCACGACCCAACGGACCCAACCTCCTGGGTCTGGGTCCTGTCCTACCTGACCTACCTGATACTCCCCTATTAGCCCACTGCGGTCATCAGCAACCGAGTGTCCAAGTTGTTAGGGAAGACATCCAGCCTGTGCCTAGCCTCCCTCGACTTCTACTCTACCCCTATTCCTACAATCTATAGTGATTACGTTCATAACCCAGTCTGACAGCATCAGTCCTCCGGACGGAAGCACTATCACCATCTGATGTCCACTAGTCCACATCTTCTCGAACCAGCTTCGTTGCTTTCTGTTACCTCTCCCTGCCCTTGCTTTTCTCCGCCAGCCCACTCTGATCACTTGCGTCAACCCTGACTTGATCCTGCACTTGATTTCTACATCTGACAGCGGGCATTTTTCGAACCTTGACCTTTTTCTGTCGAACCAGATCACTTCGCATGTTACACCTCTTACCGTCTGTGCCACATATCCGCAACCCTTGCTGCCCTGAAGCCCTGGTGGTATGAAGCCCAACAACACCCAATTCCCGTCCCAGTTTATCTGCCCGCCCCACATTTCTTTCCAGTGGAGTTCCCACCATTTCCAAATTCGTGTGGCGCGCTATTTCCCAGACCTGCGCCATCTTCCGTTCCCCTCTCCCCCCCCCCCCTTTCTGTTTTCCGCCGAATTTTGGGTGACCATCCGACGAGGCCTCTTGTT